ATACTGCACAAGTATAAGCCTGAGGATTATCAGTGGGGCGGTTGTTTGCACATGTAAAGGAGTTGTCAATATACTGAACAGACACAAACGTACAAGCTGAGATAAATGAGCCAGGAGCTGCAGCTGTGCAATTGTCCATTTCAATAACTGGCAGTAAAGGCACTGGAACTGAAAGCAGACATGATGTGTCACAAGTCATCGTGGAGAAAAAAAGTAAAACATTATGTTTTCGTTTGAAGGGGAAAGAACTGCAGTGTTGCATAATTTCCACGTTTCTTTCAGCGTCTTTCATTAAAAAGTATTTTTCTTCTTTTTAAAAACAAGTAGACCTGGGTAGGTCTGGCTTTCTGAGAGCTCACTTCAGCAGCGACAATAAGAGACAATATGATCATGTGTCATTCATTTCATTCAGCACTGGGAGACATCAAAAGAACTCAGAACTGGCAACTTGACAACAGGAGAGCACTGGTTCGTCTGTCGGGGCTGTTGAGGGAAAGACAACAAAGAAAACATCCTGTGTGCAGCTTGCAACGTTTTGACTCGTCACAGCAAGAAAAGAAAAGGTGAAACAGATTTCCTGAACAATGGTTCCACGAAAGGTCCCAGTAAAGCGCGATGTTTGCGCCTGAGCTCTCTACCTGGTCAGTTTTTACAACCAAGAACTAAAGATCACTGCAAATATCATCTATAATTTCCTTCTAGCAAAGAGAGCATTTGCATTTGAAAAAAATTTGTCAATCAGGATGATGGTGTTCTGAGTGAAAGCAAGAAATTGGCAGTGGATGTGAATTCATCAGCTCCGGAGGCTGATGTCTGTCGAAGCCGCAGACTATTCAGGAACTAGGACATGTGTACGTGTTAAAAACTTGGCTGCATGCTCGGCCGTGATGACGGCAGCGTGGCGGATGCTTTGCCAAAAGGTTTTAGGGAATCGTGTTAGAATTGCGGAAAAGAATTACAAAGCTTGACGTGAAATCAGTGGAAATGCATTAACTTGGAATAATTTTGCAGAGGAAACCGTGATACTCACGTTTATTGTTTATTAGAGATGACAGCAGTTTCAGTTGTACATTTGTCCTATGTCTTTAGTGCATCTAAAATGATCAATAAACTGAACAAATTCAAGATTTTTACCCGACAATCCATCCTGAGGGGAACATGAATGTTTGGACCATATTTCATCATGGCAGTCCATCCAAATGTTGTTGAGATATTTCACTCAGAACCACAAATGTCAACCTCATTGTGGCACAAGAGGAAAGTTGGAGGATCTCCAAAGTCATTAGGATTCATTGTCTATAGGAACCACTGAGGGAAATCTGGACAAAATGCATTTGGCAACCCACAATGAGCCTGACGTTCAACAACAACTGTTAAAGGACGGCAGAACTATTTGAGCATTATAAAGCTGGCAGGAAGATTTGTCTGAAATTATTGAAACGTAGTTGACTAGCCCCAGAAAGTGACGGGATTTGAAGCCAAAGCATGTAATTACAACAAAAGACTATTTCCCACAGACGTACATTGTGATAGAAGTGGCTATAAAATGGTGGGTACATGTTTTTGAGCATCACAACCCCCTGAAAAGTGGTTTATTTCATTATCGGGATTTGATCGATTCAGTCCAAAAACATTTGTAAAGTCTACAAGAGCCACATGATTAAATCATTTTATGTTAGCCGAAGTCTCTGGGACACTGGTGCATGTATATCTGGTAGTAAGGTCTCCTTTATACACGCCTTGTGAGTAATTTAGTAAAACAAAAAAGATAAATCAACAGAATAGAAGCTTTAACCAGACTATGATTTCCAACTCCAGTGAATAATTTATTCCCCTGTCAGATTTAGAGGTAGCTAAAAACAAAATGCTAAAGAAGGTTGAAATATGACAAAAAATGAATTACACGCCACCGCCTGATTAACTTTGCATCCACAACACACAGAGGAGATCGCCATCATTCATTGTTTACCTCTAATCAATATTCCCCCTCTGTCCCTGTCCGTCTGATTGAGAGGGATGAGAAGGTTTCGTGTGATTGCGTCAGTTAATCAGTATCATTACAACCAGTCCGGCTGCTGCGTATCAACCTCTCCTCCACTATCACAGCCTCCACTTGCCAGTCTACCATTTGCTTAAATTTACATACCTCTACTTTCCCTCTTTACCATACCTGTCTCAGTCCACCTTGGGCACTCTCTTTTCTTCACTGACACTGACCTTACACTTCGCCCTCGAGTGTAAGAAGACATCAAAATCAAACCTTTTTAATGTCATCTTGAGTCTTTAATCTTGATTTAAAGGATCTAGTTTGTAATATATCGAGGGATCTATTGGCAGAAATTCAACATAATTTTCATAATTATGTTTTCATGAGTGTATAATCAAAATAAGAATTGTTGTGTTTTTCTTACCTTAAAATATATCTACAGACGCCATAGGTCACCTTCCATTGGAGGCCCCAACGCAAGATCAGACATAACATGATGTAATATCAGTGGCGGATTAAAGAAGTGAACGCATGCAGCTTTGAAATGACCAGTTACAGCAAGATGCACTGCACTCTGGACACCTAAATTAAATGAAAATAGATACCCGTGTTATAGAAGATGATTCGTAATAGTCGTAATACCAAGGCTAAGACATCGATAGACTAGCCTGTTTGACCAAGCCGGTGTCAGAGCACCATAATAGATAAAAACACACCTTCACACATATAAAAATGATTTGTATGTATCAAGTGTGAGACGGAGGCACCCTGTAGTAAGTCAGCGACCTTAGCTCTGTAGAACTCTGTAGAACAATAAACTACCAGCAGCAGCCTGGTGCTTTCTTTAATAATAAGAGGATCAACCTCAATCAAATAAGACAGATTAAACACATATTACTTGCTGCTTTTAGGTTTCGATAAGAGACTCTAGACATTAGTTTTTACTGCTGCACCTTTGGATGTGTTTTCTCATTGAAAAGTTCATAATAATTTAAAAGAAGAACTTGAACTTGGGTGTGTCGTGCATAAAGAGAAGTTGACCTTTGTGTTCGCGCAGAGTTGCACGTCTGTATAAAGATCCAGCTCTAAATGCCATGTTGTAATTTGAAGACTGGCGACGTCTTCATTCCTTGCGTCTTTTTCCTGCTTCATCCCCAATGCGCCAAGCAAACCGTCTTTTTCCCATCATGTGGTTAAACGCTGGGTGTCAACAAGCAAATTCTTCCTCGTGCAAATTCTTCCTTGTGCAAATTCTTCCACGTGCAAATTCTTCCTCGTGCAAATTCTTCCTTGTGTATTGATCTGATTTCATTACAGCAGGCTGCTGTTTGGCATGAGGAGCCAAAGAGCTGCTGCTGTTGTCTGAAGCATGAATCCAAGTGACAGCAAGTAGAATACAAATGTACCTGGTCAGATAAACACTTACCCTCATGTGGCAGAGGAAGATAAAAGTGGCTAATACATGCTCAAAAACTACCTGTATAGTCCTCACATACACACACACACACACACACATACATATATATTTATATTTCTTACATATCCCTGTGAAATAATTTCTGTTATTTATTTCTACATTATGCCACTACCTGCTTCTGTAACCTGTGCAATGTTATAATTTAACTTTGAGTCACACATCTGTATAAACATGCTGTATATAGTTTGTACATACAACCCAAATTTTTATTTTTTTTTGTCTTGATATCTTGTATTTTTTCTATTTTATTTTGTTAATTAATGTGTTTTTGCTGTCTGCAGTGTTACACATCTGGAGCTGCTGTAACAAGTGAGGGATCAATAAAGTGTTATCTTAAAAAGCATCATATTTTTCATGCTTTTTTGTACTTACTTTGTACTATACATATAAAAATGTGTTACTTGCATTTGTGTCATGCACAATATTTGAGAAATGTTTAGTATCTGTGGAAGATAATGCACGGACCACCAGAGAGAACAAAGATAAAAAATCAAGCTTGGGCTTTGATATATTGTATCAGACACTGGACATCATGTAAAATCCTTTCATAAAAACATGAATGAACATAAGTTGAGAGCTCCTCTCCTCTTGTTCTTCAGGGCACTCACAGCATGAGGAATATGCTGCCAACAACTGCTGCTTTTTCACACTAAATTAAATATTGATTTTAACTGTGTCACATTGCATGATTGAGTGCCAGGCACTAGTCCTAAAGCTTTGAATAGGTGTATTTGAAATGTGTTTAGAAGATATGTGGGTGTGTTTGCCCTCTCTCTCTCTCTCTCTCTTTAAGGTACAGGGGGCAGAAAGATGAGATTCTTGGCCGACACGTCCTTGTGCAATCCAGTAAACAAGTGACGTCATGCACCTGCTCACATGGCTGGAGGGTGACACGTAAGGTATTGAGAAAAAACATTTAAAAGCCTTGTCTTGTTCTAGTGTGATTGGTTTTGAAGACTTTCTTGTGACTTTTGGGAAACTCTGGGTGACTTTATGTTTGACTAAGCTGGCTTTCTTTCACAATTATAAAATATTGAGGTGTTTCCACTTATTCTGGTGGATTATACTTACAGAAGTCAATCTCTCCAACGGTCTAGAGTCAAAAACGAGGTCCAGGTGTAAAAACTGGATTAAGTTGAAACAGTTAACAATTAAACATCCTGTATTATTAGTTACCACCAATGTAAGTGACTAAATGTCATTCCAGGAAACAAATATTTGTATACTTGTACCAAAATCTGCATACAAAATAAGTGGTTTTTCCCAATAAAAGATTTTAAGGAGTGGCTTTGTGATTTGTCTGAGCATTATAAGGTCACTGTGCTAGATAAACTTGTAAGATATGAGGCCTGTGGGACTGAAATCTCAAAGAAAACAGCCATGTACAATGTCTGATTCAGTTCTTTTAAAGCAGGAAAGAGGAAATACAGATCAACACAAGACAAACATGTTTGACTTGATGCTCATCCGGAGCTTCTTAAACCTTGAGTTATGGTAGGTGGAGAGGTCGGTCAAAGGCAGAAGTAATTATGATGGTTTAATGGAAGGAATTTAACTCTGGGTGGAGCTAAGTACTGAGAAATAAGGTATTTAAACTTGAGAACGAAGTGAACGAGGCGCAGGTTAAAATGGCTCTCTACCAGTTTCTGTGTGGTTTAACTGTGGTGATCATTCTTTCATCCAAAGGTAAGATAACAAATGTTTCTTATTACTTGGCTCATATCGAAGGTGGAGGAAGCACAAGACGGACAAAAAAGGGTCAAAGCAATCCTCCCGACTGGGTTGAAACAGCAGAAATTGTAGGGTTATCTTTATTTTCTTACCTTTTTAAATCACAGAGCAAATATTTCATCTTTTAGAAAAATTATAATGCAATCAAAAACGCTTGTGCGTGTAAAAGCTAATCAATTAATGTCACTAAAGAGTGCCTGTAATCAGTTGCTTCATGTGAAATACCCTCTTTTTTTTTTACCAATAATTTAGATTCCTGTCTTCTCTATTTTAAACAAAAATTAATTAAGGACAATAATTTACAAAGACGGGAACTTCCTCCTCGCCCTCAAAGCACACTGGGTGTCCAACAGGTTCTTAACTATTTATGTACTGATCACAAAAAGGGATAGTTCATGTTGGAGTGAAAGCATATTTGCACAAAAGGTTGCTCAGTTCTACCGAAATAAAACCAGTTGAGGCAGTTTTCGTGTCAACTTTGGACTACAGGGATGTGATTTATACACAATGTCCTCAACTCTTAAACTTCTAGATTCACTTATTTCCGCTGATGTCTGCTCTACACATTGTGTTTTATATGATAGGGGTTTGATTGGGTGGTCTTATCTCCAAAAGAGATATAATAGAATTGCTTCGTCACTCAGATCAGACCTGCTCTGCTCACTGACTCTTGCTTCCACTAGATAGGTCTGAAAGTGGAAAGACTGCTTTTAATTTTAGTACAGGTGACTTGTAATTGTTTACAATTTAATTATCTTAATTTATTAAATTATCTCCCCTAATTGGAAACTTTTAAACTTTTAACTTATTATTGGTTTATTGTGGTATAGTCTTTTGTTACTGCCGTTTTTTTTAATTTACTCAATGTCTGTAAATGAGGATCACCCCTCATTGATCTCTGGAGTATAAATATTTACTTACTTACTTGTCTTATTTGGATCCCCATTGGCCACTAGGCTACCAAGGTAACAACTAGTCTTCCAGGGGTCAAAATAAAGGTTGAATGAATGTATTTTACTTTTTCTCATAGTGTCCGTTTGTGTAATTGTCCTATTTTTTCATGAAAGTGTTGAATTCTTTTGTTTTATTTGCTGAGAACAATTAGAAGTGAGGTATTTTATGAGACATACAGAGGTGAAGATGTAACATTAAAAGTGAAACAGAAGTGGATCTGAGTGGGGTTTAATGGAGATTTTAGGACGTAAACTCTATAATTAACTTCAGCCTTTTAAGTTTGGTTCTGTGTGCTATCAAATGTTTGTTATCACCTGAAGATGTTCTGTGCTCTACATTTCAGATTGTCACTCACAGCAGCCAAGTAAGAACCCAAGTTTTTCAACTTTTGCTCCCTTCTGTCATCTATAAAAAGAGTTTATATATATATATATATATATATATATATATATATATATATAGAGAGAGAGAGAGAGAGAGAGAGAGAGAGAGAGAGAGAGAGATAGTACTGACCTCATGCATTTCAGCAACAAGGAAGCACTCCTGTCTGTCATCTGTCACCACAGACCTCGGCACATACAGTACAATGCAATAATAAATCTGCATTTAGGTGAAAACATTTGATGTTGAATTCACTTCTACCAGCTGAAATTATAAAACTGACAAACTGTTGTATGGTAAAGAATTCCTATTTTCTAGTAATATAAAAACTCCCATACATGCATATTTTTATATTTATAGAGCAAAATGTAAAGTTCAAGGTGTGCTCAGCTCCAAAACTGACTTTGAAGACTGTCTGACTGGAAAAACTGAGAAAAGTTTGTTCAAACGTTTGATGACTGGAGGGCACATCATCCTGACAAGCAAACTCTCTAAAGGAGGAAGTAGTGTGACGTTCTTGTGCTGCATTCCCGTCATATGGGAGTTAACTTAATGACCAGTTTCCTTGTAGACACCGTTCACATCAACATCAAAGTCGTACAGTCCAACTGGGAAACTGGGCATCATCTGAAACCTCCAATACGTCCGAGCTAAAAACCAACATCAAACTTGCTATTTTGTCAATGGACAGTTTTTTTAACCCCAAAACACAACCAACTCTGAAGTGAACAGTAAACAATCACGATGGGCTTTTCTCTAATCTTAAGCAAGTCATTTTCACATCTTAACTACAATTTTAAAAGGCAGACGTGACATATTTGGTCGTTTTATGTATTTTGTGGCATATTCTCCATCTTTAACCCTCCTTTCTTCTGCTAGAATGTGGCGTTGCTTCGAGTAACACCAGAATTGTGGGAGGTCAAGATGCACCTCCAGGAAGTTGGCCCTGGCAAGTCAGTTTAGACTCTGGTCAATGCGGAGGATCCCTAATTACCGACCAGTGGGTGCTGACAGCTGCTCACTGCATAACAGAGTAAGTACTTTCACCTACTTTTAAAGGAAGGATTTCACCTCCTCCCATCCTCGATGATCAAAAATGTGTCATTCGTGTTTACTCACTTTGGACCCACTTATTACAGCAGGTCTGATTTAATTTCAACAAACTGATCAAAATGATAAAGAAATAACTAACTAAAAAGTCTGAATTCATACTTTGTCAGGTCTGTCCGCGAGACAACAAGCTTACAACTTTTAAAATGCTTGTTTTCTTGTCTGATTATCCGGATAAATATGTTACTACCAGGTGAAAATGGGGGTCAAAAACTCACTCATTTGTAAATCAGTGTATTCTGTGGAAGTTCTCTGGACATTGAAAATTTAACTATTTCACTTCTTTCTCATCAAAAAGTGACAACATAGAGGTTCATCTGGGACGCCAAAGCCAGTCAGGTCCAAACCCCAATGAAGTGTCTCTGGAAGTCGTTCAGACCACGTGCCATCCTGCATACGATTTACTGAGCAGCAACAACGACATATGTCTTCTGAAGTTGTCGGCCCCTGTGAACTTAACCGACAACATATATCCGATCTGCTTGGCCTCAGCAAACAGCACCTTCCACACCGGGGTCAACAGCTGGGTCACTGGTTGGGGTCAAACTGGTAACGGTAAGCTCAAAGATGATCAAAGCAAGAGTTTGTAGTAGTAGTACCTTGATGAAATACAATTAATACAGATTGAAATATCTCCAATTAGGTTCCTTGTCTGACATCCTTCAGGAGGTGAATGTACCGATAGTGGGAAACAATGAGTGCGAATGCGCCTATTATGATATCACAGAGAACATGATCTGTGCCGGGCTCAGAGCTGGAGGGAAGGATGCATGTCAGGTGACCCTCCACTTTTTGTATGTTTGTTATGTAATGCCTTGTTGACTCCCCGGGGGAGAAATGTACTTTACGAGGAGGTGTGAGAGGTAAGCGGCAGAAGAGTGTCCTAGGAGTGTGTACTTATATGTCTTCCAGTTTCAGTTACATGGCAGATTTTATGTCGAGAGGGCTGGTTGCCGAAGATAAGACAAAATGAAAAAATCTTACTTCACATCCCAGAAATGTGCCTGCAGATGATGCACAAAATGTTTACTAGCTTGTCTTTGTCTCCCAGAAACCATTGTCAATTTTGGCATCACTAGTTTTAGTCACAGTTGAGTTATTCCTAGTTTCAGATAGTTATCTTAATATTAACTTACCTTAGTTTTCATGGTTTCTCCCAGTTGTTTTGCTGCTGGTTCTTTGTTTAAAAAACTGTTAAAATTACATTAAAAAATTCTGGAAGTGATTGATGCAACAGATCAACTGAGCTAAATCAACTTCTGAAGAATATATATTTTTGGGATTCTGTTTTACAAATCAACATATGAAGGTTGTTAAATAAGACAGTAATTGGTTCATATGTTCCTTTATGCTTGAGCAGGGTGGATGCTTCCTCTAAAAGATATATCTTGTCCTATCCCAACAACTATCATCTGTTTCTCGCCACAGGGAGACTCAGGAGGGCCGCTGGTGACCAAGAACGGTCCTATCTGGGTCCAGAGTGGAGTTGTGAGTTTTGGTGAGGGCTGTGCCAAACCCATGACTCCAGGAGTTTACACCCGTGTGTCCCAGTACCAGGACTGGATCAGCAACATCACTGGCAGCAGCAAACCCGGCTTTGTTACCTTCACCTCCACAGGAGTCGACAGCGACCTAAACTTTACCTGTCCAACATCGCCACCCAGAACCACCACAACTACCAGCACCCAATCATCTCCGTCGACAACTCCCATCACTGTCGTCACTGTCACAGACGACGACGGCAGTATCTTCGGCAGTGGTGAAAGCGTGATCCACTTCTCCTACTTCACTCACTTCGTCTCACTCTGCGTTCTTGTTCTTTCGCTCTATGTGCTGGTTGGTGACGCGTAACTGTTGTCTCTCCCGAAGAGTGTCGTTCCCTGTGTTTTCTTTTAATGTAGAAAACAAAGTAAAAATACCGAATTTGAAAAAACTGGGATTGTCAACGACAAAACAAATCCTTTTTATGATTTTATATTAGGGGTGTTGAGTTACTCTTTAAATATTATGTTGAATCGTGGAAAGTTAATTTTTTAGATGGTTGGGTTGACACACTAAGATAATTGTTAATAATCTACAATAAACTTTGATTCAAATTTGGTATTGTCTTGTGAAGAAATGTTGTAATGTTTTATAATGAAAATTCAATTTTATTCAATGAACATAGGTATTTATTTTCCTAATTTTTGGCCTCTTGGGGGCAGCAGGCTGAAAGGACAACAAGCTGTAAATGCACTGACGAACTGTGTCCTAATGAAGATGTAACAAACCCATTAGAAACAATTGCCTATTTACACACTGAGCAGAGCAAGATTAACTTCTGTAGTTACTAGTTATATTACAGATTGTCCATTAAAAAGAAAATATAATATTAAAAGTTACAGTTCAAAACCTTTTTGGCTTGTGACTCTGTGACTATGAGAAGTTAGCATTTCCACCAAAGAGATTTCCTTTCTAAACTACCCATAGTTTCATTTAAACTTAGATTAACTGATATGTTTTGGGATTTTTTAGGCCACTTGGGAGCAGCGGAAACAAGTTGTGAACATTGACATGTGGCAAAGTTGCTTACTTACATATCCAGCAGTTACAGAACAACATTATCATTCATTTGGAGTCGTGTTTCTGGCCTTCACCTGATGAATGTAAGTCTAATATTCTCTCTTTTTAGCTCTTTTTGGTCTTACCAACTCAGTAAGGGTACATTTTCACTAGCTTGTCTTTAATTTTGTCTGTCTGCTGTTTGGTGTTGGTACAGTTGCTTCATTAGAGCTTTATTAAGCTTTAAACAGCTGTATCTGGTTGTGTGGTTGTTGACAGCAATGAGACCAAAACAGTTAATTTGAAGGCTATCAAAATCAAAACAATGAGCTGAAAGATGCTAAAACGCTCTGTAGTGCTGAGGGGAACTGCAGAGTCGCTGCTAAATTTCTGTGGGTTCATCACATCAAGAAACTCCTTTTATTTATTACTGCAGCTTTGAACTAAGATTTAAAGAAATGAACGCTTGATAACTTACATTTTGCCAAAAGGTGTGCAGCACTACACAGAAAATGTGGCACGATCTCTATGATAGTTTGAAAATTCCCACATAAACTGGCTGCCTATATCTGGTTTGTTTTCCTACTCTATTATTTCCCCTGGAGTTCCTCAGAGGATTGTACGCGGTCTCAAACACACACACACACACACACACATATACCTGTTAACCTGGCAGAGAAGTGCAACTCATCTCCCCGGGCCAGCAGGATCAATCAGGTGAGAAATTACATGCACTGATTCCAAGTGTGTTTGGTGTGTGCATATGTATTGTCCCCCGCTCTGATTGTGTGTGTAGACATGTGACTTTGGGTATTTGTAGATCAGATTGCACTTAAATGCCTTTTAAGGTTCACAAACTTCCTCTGAAATTAAGCTTAATTGGTTCAAATGTACCATTATTTTTCATTTCCTTTCACTGTTTTAATTTTAATTTTCAAATATCCACACATGAATGCAACCACTGTCCCCAACAGGCCACTGTACATAATTTGTGACAAACCTGCACTCCAATATGTTCTGGGTGGCTGATCAGAAAACTAACTAGCAAGCAGCCTGAAGCAACAGAAACAGTCTCATTGTTATTCTGTGGCTGTGATGGTGTATTATTATTTTAGTCTCAGTGGGGTAAATTGTGTGTTTATGGACTTTTCTCACACTGTAGCTCACTGAGAACAACACAAAGATGACAAAAAGCAAATCTGACTCAGGGGAGATAAATATCCTCCTGAAAATAAATTTGATTTCTTGCTCTGATGTACTCCCTTTTGCTTCTTTCTTCATGAGCAATATTACTCATTTTCATGACACTGAAACTTCTTTTTTACCAGTATCTTTTTCTATCTGTCCAGAGGCTTTGCAGTGAAACATTACAATTGTGTCCCTGTTGTCCATTTTCATTGCTTTTGAGTGCTCCTTTTTAAATGCTTTCTTACATAATGGGCCTCTTTTGAAAATTAAAGAGAAAAACGAAGCTCAAAGAAGAGAAAATTGGACAAAAAAAGAATATGTACCTGCAATATATCTTAAACAAAGCTTGTTGAACATTTTCTTTTCATCACATTAGTGCAAAGAGCAGAGCCAGAAGAAGAAAAGAAGAAAAACAATGACCCTGTAAGAAAGTCAGGCACGAAAAGCCAATTAAGAGAGAGAACACTGTGCCTCTTAAGTGGCATTTATCAAGAAAAATACAGTGAAATGTTTTACTACTGACATTACTTGACATAATGCATCTGACAAAAACATTGGATATAATTTGATCAAACAAGAGAAGGATGGATAATGGAGAACTGTAGGAGTTTGGTACCTCTTAAGTTCATCTTTTTTATGAAAAATTAGCATAAATGTCTGGACATAATTACATACTGTCCATCCTACGTTCGCCACAGTAGAAAATACCCACACAATTAACCTGTGCAGCGTTTATATTGCTCAAATCAGAATGTCAGGAACTTGTGAAAAGATCCTTTAATGGAAGAAGTCCAAAATATAGAATAAGAGAGAAGTAGTGTTTCAAATAACAAAAACAAATGAAGTATGTGGAAAATCACTGCAGCAGTGAATGACATCAGTTCAGAGGTTGCATAAAATAGTGGTCACACCAGGAAAATTAGGCAGATTTGTGCACACAAAGACTAAAACACCAGTGAACAATTAATTAAAGCCAGGGTTAAAACAGCTAACAAATATTAAACCAAAACAGAGCTAAAACACCAGTAAACATTCCCTAAAGCAGGAGTAAAGATACAGTGAGCAGTGGACCAAACCAGCATTGAATATTGCACAAAAACACCAGTGAATATTGGGGCAAAAATGGGGCAAAGACATAAGTGAATAATGGTCTAAAACTGGACTGAAACATCACTGAAAATTGGACCGAAACAGGGCTGAAACAGCAATACAACCGCAGAACACCGGACTATAACGAAACGTGAATAATAGACTGAAAGAGGACTGAAGCATTGGTGAATTTTACACCAAACCAGAGCTAAAACACCAGTAAACATAGCCTAAAACAGGGTTAAAGAGAGTGAATAACTGGACTAAAACATGACTGAAACATTGGTGAATATTAAACTGAACCAGGGCTAAAACACCGGTAAACATTGGACTTATAACTGTCCAATTACCATTGCAAAAGCAGGATAAACAGACACCAATGACACCTCACTTTTACAACACTATAAACAGCAGCACACTGCGGAGCTTGTTGCAGTTCTGTATCAGTGCTGACTCACTGTTTATGTGTAATGACTCATGGTGAAGTTAAGATGCTGCCATTGTTAGTGAGCTTCTGTTGCACCTCTGCACCTCATTGCTGTTACACAACCTAATGTCAGTCTTTGTGGATTGTTACACTTAAATAGGTATAAATGGCGTTATGATTTCCAGGAGTTGTAATAATAGTAATGGTAGTAGGAAACCCTGAAATATTCTGTTGAGTAATATAAAAATAATTTGATGATGCAGAGTTATCCTTTATGAGGATAAAAATAGGGCTTAATGGCTGCTCAATGCACATTTTCATTGAAATTTCTTACATATTTTACTTGAAATTGTGAACATTTAGTAGTAGAAGTAGTTGTAGTAGTAGTAGAAGGTGCCATTGTTCTATAGCAGCCATTACACTGTGCAATCAAGACTTACTTCATGATAAGTAATAGGAAAAGATTGGTCTTTCATACTTTGGTTTACCTTCGCAGCTCTTGTGTTGGAAGATCCCGAGTCAGAGCAGGTAACTATTAACAGTGACGGGTGCAGCAGTTGTATAACTTGCACTTGCGGGACTATTAGTCTTAGTAGTAGCTGTAACAGCCACAGTAGTGACTGAATCATACAGTTCACTTCCTATTCCCTAAACTCATCCTCCAGAAACGTCTCATGAACTCTGAATATAATGTAGGCAGCTGTGTTGTCGCGGTTTCCTACATTTCCTCTGGGTAGAAAATCCTCAGAGCCGTATCTGACTCAGCACTTAGTCACTATCCATTGGATGTGTGTGTGTGTGTGTGTGCGTGTGTTTGCACTTATAAATGTGGAAGGGAGTTTGTATGTGTGAGATTCAACTGGCTGTCTTCCTTCTTTTCACCCTCCCACCTAAACTTTATTCTCCATCTTTGGTTGCCTTCTTTTATTTCTCTATAAGCGTGGACAGTGTGGTCTTGTTTATCTGTATTTGTGGGGTCCTGACCTCAGGGGACACTCACGGCGTTTAGGGTCCAACAACTTTGTGGGGACCAGCACTTTGGTGAAACACTTAATGGCTGTTGAAGCAAAAAAAAAGCCAGTTAAGGACTGTAGCTGAGGCAGCAAAGAGGAAGATTAAAACAATTTACTCTTGTGTCTCTCAAACACAACTCCACACACATTTTACACCATCCAAAGCCTTAAATTAACTCCAGTACATTGAGAACTCTGCTGCTCGTCTGCTCACACACACCCGCACCCATGACCACATCACCCCTGTCCTCCAGAACCTCCACTGGCTCCCGGTCCCACAACGAACTGGTTTGATGTTGATTGGTTAGCTAGTTTTTTGCTAACATTAGTTAACTTAAGATGTGGAATAAATATATATGTGGTTCTCCTTTCAACACGAGTCTGGCAAGTACAGTGTGTACAGGAAATCAGGTTTCTGATTGAGGCTTGCTCGACTCTTATTGGACCACATAACAAAAAAGGGGCGGGACTTTGGTTTATGACCAAATACCTGCACAACAACTGACATTCCCATCAGCTTCAGCTGGACTTAACTAGTGATAATTAGTGCCATTTTTAGCATACTAACATTTAAATAAGTTGTGACCTTCATATAAGAAGGGATCATTTGAAGCTTCCCTTCTGCTCAGCTAGATATTGATAAGGTCTGTCATAAGGGAAGGAAGGGAAGGGTGGAGGAAAATGTAAAATAAATATATTTTGAAATTATATGTTTTTGCCCTTGAAGGAAGTTGGAGGAGAGTTAGTGTGAAAGTAGAATAAATCCTCTGTGGGTTTTTTTCCTCTTCCTTTAATCTGGTAATCTTTCTCTTTTTTTTTTTTTTTTGGTTTCTCTTGCAATCATTTTTTGATATTTCAAACCTCATTTTATTCTCTCACCCACTTTTCCTTTATTCTTAATTCCTCCTCTACTCTTTATCATTTTATCTTACTATCAAATTTCCCTCCTCCCACAAATTTAATTTTTTTTAAATCTTGGCTCTATTTCTTTCCCATATTTCTCATTCCTTAGCTTTACTTTATCACTTCTACCCCGGTTCGGTTAAAACAATTTGACACTACGTGGGTCATCCAAGTGGGAATTGGATTATCTTCACTGTAAAATGAAGCTGCATCAGTTGGGGGAAAGGAAACCTCCCAGAGGGTCGGTTTCAATTTAGCACGAACAAAGCTGAGATGAGTATCATTTATTCCAGATTTATGTGGAATTTGTGTCATGTTCCTAAATTGTATTTCATGTGAGATAAGACTGCTAGAGGGAGGCTTCAGAAGAAATTGGCTTATGTGGATATTTCATCCAAATCTGATCTGTAAAACAGTCCACAATGCAGATAAGTGGCTGCAACAGTGGATGTTCTTTGAACCCCACGTGGTTCCCATTGAGTAGACTGATAGGAGGTTTCACTGCATTAACAGAGAGAGAGAGGCTGATATAGACTGTACGGTAGGTGTGACTTCCCTTATGATGAACAGACGCCCCAAACAAACATTTACATTCACCTCAATTCAGAAAGTCGTCCTCATTTTGTATCAGAAACCATATACTGTATTTTTATATGTCCAGGTTTTAACACATTGATGTTAATGTGTTGTCCACCTTTAATGTTTATGTTATGTTCTTGATTAAATTTGTTTTCCTATTTAAAAAGCTACAAAAACAGTATCTTATTGCTTTTTGTGACACACATTTGTGCGCTTGTAAACTATGTACAATACAAACACACAAGTTTTTATTGTTGTTTTATAGGGTTGAATTTAAAACATTTGTTGTTATTAAAGTTTTCAAACTGTTTTTTATAAATGTTTTACCCTTTGGCCACTTGGGGGCAGCAGAACAAGCTGTGAACTTTATTCCAGCAGTGTGACTCCCAGCAGACACCTGACAACACTACTCTACCATATTGCTATATAGATAATGTTTCGATTAATTGTGCAGCCCTATTTAATTTGTACAAAAATGAAAGTGTAAGAAAGACACTTTGCAGATTTATGAATAATTATGAGCTGGAATATTTCCTGGAGGGGAGCAGTGACTTTCTGGAGTGTAGTTTTAGACTTTGTTTTTGCTGGTAGGCAGATTTGTTAACTTTGGACTGAGTGTTTTTCCTTGTTTGCAGTCTTTGTGCCAAGCTAATTGGCTGACAGTGGTATAACTTCTCATCTCTTGGAACTATTCCTTTAGGTATCCAAAAATATTGTTGTTGTTGAAGCTTCCAAAGAAGGAAAAAGACACAAACAAAAACTATTCAAACAGTGGAAGGAGAGTGTTTTCAGTGATTCATTTTATGTTGTGTAGTTTCCTTTTAGGTTGTATGAATATCTGCATAAAAAACATTTCTTATTTTAACATAATACATAGTACAATGCCAGAAGTCTGAATTATATTAAAAGTTTTTTTTCATTTCAATGAATCTTATGCATGACCAAAATTAGTTCAGGATATCAGTTTTGTTTACCTAAAAATGTATATCTGTTAAGAAATGACCCCATTTATTCTCTATATATTATTTATGTATGTTTGCCCTTTTAGTAAATGT